ATCTTACTAGCAATAGTTCCCTTGACAAATAAAAACTACCTCAACTACCACTGATGGGACCCCCCTTATGAGTAAATTGTTCCAGCGCCACTAGTACATGGAACCTTGTCTAGAGAACACATTATGCGTCGCCATTGTCCTTTCCGACAGACTTTGCACAGTACCCTTCAGGTCCTGCAGATAAATTGCCTATGGCACAACCTCCTCTCATACAGTGCCTTGCAAAAGTATTAACCCCCCTTGGCATTTTTCGTGGATGATTGCCTCACAACCTGGAATTAACATGGATTGTTTGAGGATTTGCATCATTTAATTTACAGAACATGCCCACAACTTTGAAGATGTTTTTTTTTTTTTTTTTATTGTGAAGCAAACAATAAATAGGACAAAATAACAGAAAAGGTCAATGTGCATAACTATTCACCCCCCTAAAGTCAATACTTTGTAGAGCAACCTTTTGCGGCAATCACAGCTCCAAGTCGCTTTGGATAAGTCTCTATGAGCTTACCACATCTTAGCACTGGGATTTTTGCCCATTCCTCCTTGCAAAACTGCTGCAGCTCCTTCAAGTTGGATGGTTTGCGCTTGTGAACAGCAATCTTTAAGTCTGGCCACAGATTTTCTATTGGATTGAGGTCTGGGCTTTGACTAGGCCATTCCAACACATTTACATGTTTCCCCTTAAAACACTCAAGTGTTGCTTTAGCAGTGTGTTTGGGTTCATTGTCCTGCTGGAAGGTGAACCTCCATCCTAGCCTCAAACCATGATGCCCCCACCACCATACTTCACAGTTGGGATGAGGTTTTGAAGTTGGTGTGCTGTGCCTTTTTTGCCACACATAGTGTTGTGTGTTTCTTCCAAACAACTCAACTTTGGTTTAATCTGTCCACAGAATATTTTGCCAGTACTGCTGTGGAACATCCAGGTGCTCTTGTAAAAACTGTAAACGTGCAGCAATGTTTTGTTTGGACAGCAGTGGCTTCCTCCATGGTATCCTCCCATGAAATCCATTCTTGGTTAGTGTTTTACGTATTGTAGATTCGCTAACAGGGATGTTAGCATTTGCCAGTGACTTTTGTAAGTCTTTAGCTGACACTCTAGGATTCTTCTTCACCTCATTGAGCAGTCTGCGCTGTGCTCTTGAAGTCATCTTTACAGGATGGCCACTC